TTACAAGAAAAAGGGTTTTCAATAGTATTTTTTAGAGGAATGTGTCGTTAAAAAGTAAGAATTTTTTTTTGAATTTACATGTAAAATATTTTATTGTATAAATTTGTGATTGAAAAAATGAGTATGTAAAAAAAAAGTTTTAAAAATATGAGAATCAAATAGGGGCTAAGAGTGATTGGTGCAGGTTGAGGAGAGTTGGGATTAAGGAACGAAGATGGTATGATAGTGAAATTTAGCTTTGAATATGTCCCTTGGCAAAAGGGTCTAAGCAGTCTAGTTCACTTTTATAAAGGTTGAATCCCAACCTTAAGGGCCCACGTCGCTCCGTCCCTAGAGTTTTGTGAGTGAGATAAATCGCAGAATGTATCCCAACAGATCAGGGAACAAGAGCTGCCTGTACACTGCACCTACAAAGAGTTCAATTCCATATTTCAGAAATCGAATCTCTATACTGCGGCTGCCAGCAAGACATGAGATAACCTCACTTCTATCATTTATACCATTGGACTAATAAAATCTTGTATTCCGATATAGAGAAATCAAAACATATACTAAAAAGTCAATTTTTTTTTTTAGTACACAAATATATTAAAGAAATGTGTATGAGTACCCCGACCATTAAACAGTTTGATGGGTTCGCCATGTGTCCTACAATTATATGTCTTCGACCTACCTCACATGGAACCTAATCAGAAACTCCAAGCGTTGTAATACTCGACGGAATTTAATAATAAAATTTTATAGTTAATTTACTTTTTATTTTTTAAAAATTGTTCACCGTAGCAGTGAGTATTCAGCCCTGAATATGATGCACTTGTGCATTATTTTTCTTTGCCTAGTCTTCTGCTAGAATTGGACGTGTCTTTATTGTTGAATCATTCCTAAAATTTATTTATTTTTAATCCTTAACATGCCTCATTAATATGAACATATAATCATGCAAAGATGAATAAGATAAGAAATAAAAATAAATAATAATAAATGGAGGTGCCAATAATTCGTGATTGACCAAGGAAAGAAAGACTTAAGTGGTTGGCTCGTGTTTCGTCAAACTAAAGAGAGCCCAATATTTATAACACCGATGCGAATTTAGTAAAATAAGTTAGGAGAGAAAGGGATCGTTTAGTTAATTGAGAATGCCTTTACCTACAAACTGGCCTCGTTTTTTGTTAAGTTTAAATTTGATACATACATAATTTTATAGAGTAGAAGTGTATCATCTATAATTAAAATATCAAAAAATAATATATTTATTTTATTTATATTTAAAATAATGATATTTATCATTATGATGATAGAATATCGGTGATATGATTGTTATATGAAATAATGAGATTGGGTAGTTCAATTTTTAAGAGGAGGAGGAATACGAGACGTGGTCTCAAAAGAGTGAGAAATGTGAGGAATGATAGATTATCGCATTACTTATGTTTTATCATCATGATGATAATTAACATTACTTTTATATTTAATCTTTAACGAATTCTTAGGATCCTAAATCCTGTCAACTGCATGAAATGACCAAAATAACTGTCTTGAGTCTTGATGGCAATTATTGTTATTTCCTCTGTGCTTGGGGACTCTGTCATCTCCTCAAACATATATAAACCCCTCTGCCCCTCTTCATTTTGATCCAGACATCTCTCTCTCTCTCTCTCTCTCTCTCTCTCTCTCTCTCTCTCTCACACACACACACACACACAAAGAGACACCAGTACTATGAAGAAGAGTGTAAACATAGTACTGTTAGTGCTGCTTTGCAGCAGCTTCCATCTTGCATTCTCATTATTTGATGGTAAGCTATTCAATTCTATGCTATGCTTTGTTTAAATTTATACCCATAAATTGTTTTCTTCTCAATCTTTGTATGGATAGAACTACAACTCCATCTATGCTTTTTTCATAGTCGATATAATTCCCGAATAAAAAAAGGAAAGTCACAGGAAATTTCAAGTCACTACAATCATTGTCAAATTTTATGAATTAAACGTTGGATGATAAATGCTTAAAATATACCACGTGAGCCATAGTTGCAAGTACACGGCTCGAGTTGGGACGCACCGGTATGGAAACTTTGTGATCCTCACTTACTTTATAAATCTACTTTAGGCCCCATCTGAGAGTGATATTTATAAAATTTTAATCTAATTTTGTATCGTAGAAAATGTAGGTGGTCCCATTTGTGCCATAATTATTGACTCAACATGAAATAAATTACAAGAAATGTCCTTTTCTCAAAATCCGAGAATTAAATTTTAAAGGGACACATCGGTCATTATACTTGATTCGGTCAAGAATTGCAGCTGTCCTATCAGTATCATACACTGTATAAACGGTATAAAATTCACTATAAAGTGATAAAAATCGCTCCTAGACAAGGGCTTAATTGGATGAAATACGATGAAATTCTTCATTGCTAGTTCAAAGATATAATTCAGTTAATATAGATACTGATCCATCCAGTGATAATTCGCATATTTAAAATTAAATTTGCTCGAAATAGTAAAGTTATTTGTTGGTTGCTTCTTTTCTTAGAATCTAAGGACTATTCCATGTGTTATTTTACTTCAGAAGGTCGTCTCAATGCTTCAATGTCACATGGAACTGTGTTTCAAACTATATCCATATTTTCAATCGATAGTATTGAACTCTATTAAACAATATAGTAGATAACGTTCTTAAATTATTTTCCTTTCAACCTCACCATGTGAGACACGTAAGACAGCCGCATGAGTTATTCTAATAACCTTAAAAAAAGTGTTGTCCTGACTGAATAATAAATTTGATATTTCACATGTACATTTGCATGATCCAGCCTGGAAAATTTCAAATTCCTAATCTATTCGTTCAACTATCAAGACACGGCACCCCATGTTAGCTTGGACAGGTTAATTATTAGTTTTATCAAGTACACAAACCAAGTGCTTGGTGTACATAATTTGGGTACATAGGGATACCAACACTTCTCACATGGAGTGGAACTCATGCGAGTAAGGAATGTGGACACCCTTATGTACATATTTTACGTACACCAAGACTTATTCCTATTTTTTTACACAACTATGGACAGTGATTTCCTATATTTTTGTAGTTCGTCCTAGCGTTGCTAGTTTGACTGTTGCTGAGTAGTTTTTGAGTTCTAGACTAATATACACAGTACTGCTTTCATATTCCTTATGCATTTGAAAAAATTTCAGGATTACTCCCTAATGGAAATTTTGAGCAAGGCCCAAAACCTTCACAACTGAAAGGCACCAAAGTGATAGATCCTCATGCTATACCTAACTGGGAAATTTCAGGTTTTGTGGAGTACATAAAATCAGGTCACAAACAAGGAGATATGTTGCTGGTGGTTCCAGAAGGCGTTCACGCCGTTCGTCTAGGGGACGAGGCGTCGATCAAGACTCGGGTTAAGGTTAAAAATGGAATGTTTTACTCACTCTCATTTAGTGCTTCAAGAACTTGTGCACAAGAAGAGAGATTGAATGTTTCTGTGTCACCAAACTCTGAGCCTAAGGATTGGGGAATGTTACCTATGCAAACAATGTATAGTAGTGATGGTTGGGATTCATATTCATGGGGGTTTTTAGCAGAATCTGATGAAATTCAGATAGTGATTCATAATCCTGGAATGGAGAAGGATAAGGCCTGTGGTCCACTTATTGATTCAGTTGCTCTCAAGGCTATGAATTCTCCTAAAAGACCAAGAGGTAAATAATAACTCCCCTTCATGAATACGAATAATATATTTGACATGCTAGACTAGATATGTACACAGATTTAAGGCCCAATAATTTTTCGATTTTGGTCATTTTTCATTATAAAAGTTGGAAAAAGGCCCACGTGGGCCAGCCTGCAAAGGCCTCGGGTCTGCAGAGTTAGGTCCGAACAACCTAACTTGTTCAAACTGGCTAACCCATGGCATGGCCTGCCTGGCTTTCTACCTCTATGCTAGACTAGAGTCTAGACATGATTGAGAAAGAGAAACATGCAATATATTTGACCATATATCGTGTCCTTAGATTAAAATTTTCAACACACATCTCTAATGCTTATTAAACATGATTCTGCAGGCAACATGTTAAAGAACGGAAATTTCGAAGAGGGTCCATATATATTCCCAAACACATCATGGGGTGCCCTAATCCCACCAAACATCGAGGACGATCATTCTCCCCTGCTCGGATGGATGATTGAATCCCTTAAAGCAGTAAAGTACATAGATTCTGACCATTTTGCAGTTCCCGAGGGCAAACGAGCTGTTGAACTTGTGGCAGGGAGGGAAAGTGCTCTTGCACAGGTTGTAAAAACCTTGCCCGGAAAAACCTATGACCTATCATTCTCCATAGGGGATTCCAAGAACTCTTGTGAAGGATTAATGGTGGTTGAGGCATCGGCTGGCAAGATTATTGGTCAATTTCCTTACGAATCCAAGGGCAATGGTGGGTTCAAACATACTAAACTCAGATTCGTGGATGTGTCATCTCGTACGAGGACTAGATTTTTGAGTACATTCTATCACATGAAGATTGATGGCTCCCTATGTGGTCCAGTGATTGATGACGTGAGGTTGATTAGTGCTCGTAATCCACGTCATGGTTGATTGTGATTGGAAAAAGTCGATTTCTCATTATGTTCTTGTTATTGTTGATAGCATTGGTTATGCAATCACATGGATCTAGAGGAATATTTTCGAATCATCTATGTAGAGGAGGAAGTTTTTCGTCATCATTACATAATAAAGAAGAGGATTTAAGGCGTCTTTCCATGCATTGCTCATTATTTCAAGGTGGCTATGCCTTGAAGTTGTTCAAGAGACCTACCTCGAATGTATTCAAGATCTTTACTGTTGTTATATCAATCAATTCGTTGAACATAAACTAATGAACAAAATTCCTACTAAAATTCAAACCATCTATAGCAGCTATTTTTATAGAGAGACGTAGTTGAACACGAACAAAATCCTACGACTAGAAATTGAATGAAGAATGAGTTTAAAATAGAATTCCAAATAGGGGCTTTATATCAAGGAATGAAAGAACTAGAATACACAAACAGGCACATATACTCGTGTCTAAGGTCCAATAACAAATGAACTAAATGTATCCATCGATTATTTTGACATGCCTGAAAAAGGGCGAGAGTGGGTATTTCAAATGGAAAAATGGGCCGTGTTTAAATCCCCAAAACTATCAAGAAAGATCAACAGATTCAACTGTTGCAAAAGCAACCATAAGAACATAAAATTCATCAAAATCAAGCAAAGCACAAAGCTTTTGAATCCCCAAGTTTCTAAGTATTCCCTCATCACCTCACCAGATTTATTCTGGCAGGAAAATTGCCGTGCATAATTAATGTTGATCGTCTTCATCATCGCCATGTCCATCAGGAGGTCCACCCGGGCCAACCACTTCTAACTGCAAACAAAGAGAGAATTGTCAATAACTTGACCTAGAACCATTTGTACCTACATAAAAGCAATGAACCAGAGGTTCACTTATTTCCTGAATATAATACAAATGAGATCCAATTGGGCTACAAATTAACATAATTCCAAGCAGAGCAACTAAAGACTCTCGTACAAATAATGACTGCATTCTACTGGCAAGTAAAAACAAAGCCCTTGTTTGAAAACCATTATTTGGGAAAAACAATGTTTTGAATAATGGTTTTAGAAGAATGTGGGGTTAAAAAGTAGGGAAATGTTTTGATTTATGCGCAAAATATTTTATTGTATAAATGTATGATTGAAAATGAGTATATTTAAAAGAGTTTTCAAATTACAATAGTCAAACAGGGGCTTAATTACAGTCTGCATTTATCACATCAGCTCATCTCATGGCCAGAGGATATTTAGCCCCTGTTTGTCCCCCACTTCTTACAACTCATTTTCAGCCACACATTTCATGGGACCTATAACTTTTCAACCACAAATTTCACCAACTTTTATCAAAATCTAATTTTGATCCAAACCAAATAGGGGCTTAGTAAAGTTTGATCCAGCACTTACCACGAAGTACTGCGAGCATACTGGGCATTCATGTGGCTTGCCTTTCTCTAGCCAGAACCAAACAACATCATGCTCATCTTCTATTAAATTTCAAGGGTGGATAAGAAACGGTCAGAGGAAAATAAGATATTGGATTGTGAAGCAGAACTTGATAACTCATTTACTATGAAAAACTGCAGATGGCAGATTGGCACTAACCGCCTTCAGCACCAGGACATCCCACGATTCTTTTGTCATAGTAAGACTCGATAACAGCAGGTGCTTCCTGCAAGAAAATGAAATTTAAAGAAAGCACCGTATCAAATTTGAAATTGTGGAAAGATCGAAAAGAAGGGCAAAAAACTCAAAACACTCACTGAACTTTGGGCTTTGTTTCATTTTAGTCATTCATCTGTAATTAGTTCCAAAATGGTCACTGAACTTTACGTCTAGCTTTAGTTAGTATCTAGTTGTCTCTTTCACTAATATTAACCGAAACTGATCCAACCTGAAACGAAACATTTGGCCCAAGCATTAAGTAACATGTGGTCTAATGAAAAATAGTAATTCTCAACAGTAACGCCCTGACATAGTTATTTTCTATGTTGCTTGACTCTTCGTTTTGGAAGTAGTAACCGTGTCGGCATAACACATAACGACAAGGGTATGAGATACATGACGGATCCTTTATATCAGAAGAAGATTCTTTGTATTGTTTTTCTTCCCAAAATTATGGTGTACTGGTAAAGAGTAATAAGACGCAATAAGAATACACCACTTGTGATAATTTTTAACAAAAGAAAGTTAGCAGGTAATAGTCTAGACTTTGGAATGGAAAAGGTAAAGAAAATTTGTACGAGCCACTTTAGTACATAGAGCAAGTGTAACTCTCCATAAAACTCCCAGGTCGTGTAGTCATTATAGGAAACTGATCTCATGTCAAAAATGAAGGAAAAATGTGGAATCTTTTAATTCATAGACTGAAAATGAGACTTAAGATTGGTTTGCACCTCAAAACCCAAAAGAAAACTCTAATTACTGCAATGTTCGATGTTATTTCTTCCTTCCCAAAAATGGGTTTACAACCATATTTCTAGGACCAGCTGCAGCTATTATAGACTTCTTTAAAAATGATAAACTTAAAGTACTCAACTAACAATGTTCATTTATTTGGACCAACGCTATGACTTCCTCAAAAAGTCCAAATGAGCATGGAAATGCTCAATTTTCTGTTGTTTCCATTCTTTTACCAGTTGTTGCATTGATTTCCATCACTCACTGATAAAAAATCATAGGTTACAACCTCAAGCATAGGAAAAGTTTCACATTTATTGGAAAAAGGATTTTATGGATCTTCAAAAAAATTTCCTCTGGAAAAAAGGTGAGAGAAATTTAACAAATCATAAACATTAGAGAAATGTAACAAATCATGTACGTTTAAAAACATTTTCTATGTTGAAAAAGACAGGAAGAATACATAATTTGTTTCTTACATAACTCAAAATCTAACATTTTGAGCACATATAAAATATTAATTTACAGAACTTTTCTGTTTGACATCAAAATCAAAATTAATAAAATAGCAGTAAAAACGCAAGAGATACAAGTATCTGTAAACATCAAAGGGGTATTAATATTATTTTGTATTGTAGCTGAAAGGAGCAAATAGAGGGAAAACTAAAGAAAAAGCAAAAGAAATTCAAGGAAACGTCGCCGTAGCACGTGGGTCAATAATTATCGATGATCATAATCTCCTAACATCTTTTTTTAAAGTGCTAACAAGTTAGCAATGTTGACATGATTTCATGCAGTATGTACTAGATTAATCTGAAATCCAAAATTTCTTAAGAGTAGGGATTGAAGCCAATCTGGCCGAACTATGTATTGACATGCTTTTTTCCATGTGGCATCAAAGCTTTCAAGTAATAATTACTACATCACCATAGCTAATCATCAGCTAATGACAACTGGTGACCATCAAAAACAAGTTAGTAATAAATACACACGGAACTTTTATGAAACAAAAGATTTAGCTCTAACCTTTGTACCAAAGGGACCGGATGGATGGTTAATTTCCAGTATATCCTTTCCCTGATGAAATGTAATCCAACAAATATCAGCAGAAAACATTCAGAAAAACAATCAATATTGTATCTATAACACAAAATAAACCTTCATAATGAATGAAACAATAAAAACTCACTTGAAGCTCAGCTTCAAGCTCTTCACGCTCATGACCAGTTGCAATTGGCATTACATCCTCAACTTTCTTAACCACATTTCCTTTAAACACATTTTATCAACCAAAACAAACATAAAAACCAATAAAACTCTTTCTCATCCGAATCCGTGCACAATCACCACAAAGAGAATGTTACGGTTACTAATCACTGCACAGATATATATCCAAAATACAAGAAATTTAGGGTTTGGAGCGTACCAGATTCGGTACTAAATAGGCGATAGACGAGAGGCAACGACTTGACTGACTGATGCGAAGCTGGAGAGGATAATGTTTCCGTAATTCGAGTGCAATTCGGAGCCGACTGCGTCCAGGCAAGAGTTCGAAGCTGCACAGAGAGCCTTCTCCACATGATTTTCTCTTCAAAATTTGTTGAGAATTTGGATTTGATCTCAGGTCGCCCGCTGTTTTTGTAGAAATGATGAGATCAAATTCTCTCCCTACTTTCTCTCTCTAGAAATAGCAAACGGCGAATGGGGAAATTAACGAGAGGCTGCGGGAAAACAGTAGAATGGCAACCCGTACTGACTGCATGACTCGCTCGTGTGAGTGCTTGTACACGTGTGAGTTTGGCTTTCCCCGATTTGCCCTTTCCAACTTTTTCTGTCCGATACCTTTCGCCACTTAATTATGGCCCTGTTTAATTCCCATTGTTCTCAAGAATTAAGATGTTTAATCCTTGTACATGGGTTATCGAATCGTATCCCCCCTCACAAACATGTGGGCCTCGCCCCTTATTAAATAATTCGAGCGTGGTCCCCACTTCATGTTGTGTGTAGTAGGTAAAAGATTATGTAGATGATTATGTACGTGTAGCGTGACCCTTTTCTCAAAATATATTTTTCTCTCTTCTTTTTAACCACACATTTTTTATTAAAATAATATTACATTTAAATCAAAAACATTTCCTTATTTTTCATTCACACATTTTTCATTAATCTACTATTCTAGAATTCATTTTTCTATAAAAATGGGTGTCAAAAGGCCTCTCATTACACTCTAAAATTTGTAAATGTTATCTCACGTCTGTTAATTTATGAATCGACAAGCAAGTAAATCAGAGTGATACCATCTGGAGCATAAGAAGCATAAAATCCAAAAAAAAGGCAGTCGCCCCTTCAATAGGAGCTCCCTGTTTCCAGCTGTCTGCAACCCTGACCAAGAAGCAGGGCTGTAAAATCAAATATAGTAAAGACCTAATTGTGAAAGTGTTTATAAATGTCCGAAAAAAGAGTAATGTTATTTACAGTCGGATACTGTCATAGTCGTCCTACGTGATATACATATGTTGATTATTGATGAATGTACTAATGTGATAGTTTTTTTATTGCTTTTTGTATCAAATCACTAAATATTATATGTATGTCACGTAGGGCGACTACAATAACGAGCGACTGTAAGTAGCATTATTCTTAAAAAAACATGTTATGAGACTATCGTTCAATGACAAAAATATGATAAGTAAATGCATAATTTCAACTTTGATCAGACAATAAAAAATTAGGTAATAATGGAACATATTGAACTATCCATGTGGTTGAGAGCCTTCACAATCTAGGAAGCTGATAATATTATGGTAAGTTCAATACCAACTTAAAGACATTTAAAATTTAATATAAATTAGAAAATATTAAAGTTAAAGAGTGGACGCAGTTTGTATCGGCTCGATTCTGAAAAGAGCCAAACTGAACCGAATACTAATGAGAATCTTAAAAATTGAACCATTGGTTTCGAATCCAACTATAAAACCGAATCGAAAATCGAACCAATTGGTTCCAATTCGGTCTGATTCGATTCTTTATATTGAAAAAAAATTATAAAAAAAAGTGTGAAACTATTAGTGAAATTGAAAATTAATTAAAATAGAATATGAAACCCCTTGTTATTTCAAAACTCCAACAATACAAAAAATTCACTAAACAAGACAACAAACAAAAATCCACTCTAAAACTTAAGATCAACTTATAAATGCGAAAATATGATAAAATATTAAACAAGCGAATGAACGGTAAAATCTTGATCAAAAATTTATATAACAATAGCATGATTATCTTTAATAATATTCAAGGATCATGATTCTTGATAGCCGGTCACTTTGAAATCAACAAGAAAATTGAATTTTTACGAAAATGTTGAAATGAAAATATATTTTTCTTATTATGTTGCATTAAAACTATGAATTTATAAAATATTTATAAAATTATTTAAACTTGAATTTCAATTACCTATTAAAGGACGGAATAAGAAGCGCATGAAAAATGAACATTTAACGTAAAATAATTTTAGGGTCTAACATTTAAAGATGTTGTTCATCTTGGTGAAAGCAAAAAGATAAATTAGGGAGAATCGAATTCATTGTAGGTTACCAAGAATCGGGCAGGTACCAATCGGTTCTCGATGTATAGTTCAAAAATTGTCCCATTTAGTAAAGGAATTGGAGCCTAACCGATCGATTCTGTTTGTTTCCAGTCCAATTCCACCAGTTATAGGGAAAAATGCCCACCCCCAATTAGGGTAAATTCAATTAGAGCATCTTCATGATATGTTTTAAACATGAAACGACTTTTAAAATCATGTTCTTTAATTTGACTCTCCAAATAATTTAAAGAAAAGTTAGTTAAAATAAAAGATGGAGAGAAATAATAAATATTTTTTCAGATTAATAAAATTAAGTGTTAAATATAAAGAACTTGTTGGAGTATTTCAAAATTTTTAGTCTCTAAATTTATAGATGCTCTCCAAATTATAGAATATACTATTTAAAAATAGAGTATCTTAAAAATACTCTTGCAATCATGATATAAAGTATAAACCCACCTTCTGCCTTTATATCCCTCGTACATAAGTAGCTATGTACTCATTTACGAGTAACTGATGTATACTCTCTCCCCATCCTTGGCGCCATATCCAAAAAGTTTGACAAGATTTGGATGCTCGACAACAACAAGAAATTGTACTTCTGCAAACCATTGCTTATGACCTTGAAAAAGAAGACTAATTTTTTAAAATTCCAGCAACGAGGTAGCGACATTAAAGCAATAAACACGTAAATAAGGAAAACACGCAACTTAATACACACAAAACATCAAGAAGTGAAAAGAGAAGTAGAGATAGGCATTAAAGTAGGAGATTGAACTACACCTTCTGCGGCATATTTTGTAAGGTCGATTGAACATTATTGGAGAAGAAAACTAAGTTACAACATAGTTCAGTACTATCCAGTTCTAAATACTAAACGTGACCCTAATGTTTAACTTTTCTTCTGCCCTTGAAAACAAAGTCCTAACAATATTGCCATCTCCTTCAAGAAATTGAAACAGACAGTAGTCCGGCTTTGTTTCCACATGATGGCTTATGTGCTTCAGTACGTAGCCACGTAATGTTCGATAACATGTCTCGTACATTAGCCAATCTGCGTCTGTTTTAGTCTTTTGGATTTTGACTCCAGAGTCTTATGATCCTCGACTTTTCTCCTCAAACTTTTCAGGTCTTCTTCACTCACTATGCCATTCAATGTTTTGTTCAACTCATACGCTTCATATAATATCTGCTTGCATTCTTTGCTTGCAGAATCGTGGGAGACCACTGGAATGGAGTACAGAGAGCGCCCAGTTAGCAAGATGGCTTCTCCAAAGCCAACAGAAATTAGACGAAATGGAAAGATGAAAGAGATTTTCCGAAAGAGCATAAATAACAGATCATGATAAGACTAAAAAAGTTCATAACGTAAAATAATATGATCAAGGGGTACACACACGAGAAGCTAAAAGGGCAATTTAACAACTAATATTTTCCTTCAAAAAATAAACACCTAATACAAATTATCTCCAAAAAATGGCTGAGGCAACGTTCAAAGTGATAAGGAGTTTTAAGAAAAAACTTAGAAGATTCCATTATCTGTTATAAACTAAGAATAATTTTGACGTATTTTCTATTGCGATCCACTGGCAACCGTCTCCAAGGCCTCTCATAATGATAGGTACCATTTATAATAGGCTATCAACATTATAAATCATCTTAAGAGCCATTACAATTATCAAAATAACATCAAGTCTGTGACCTACATGGACATGATCAGATAATGATAAATCTACACTTCCAGAATAAATCATTAATGGTGTGTTTGATTATATTTATTTTCCATGGAAAATATCAGTTTTCCACCCAAATTCCTACTTTGAGTGTTTGATTGCTATTTTTTTCCATGGAAAATATTTTCCAACTTTTGAAAATATGCCTAATTTTCCTTGTTTTTAAGGAAAACATTTTCCTTGGATAGAGGTGGTTTACATTTTCCACAAAAGATGGAAAACATTTTCTTTTCTAGGTGATATTTTCCATGTCAATCAAACACACTCTAAGTATAATTGAAGCATCCAGCTAGGTGAAAGTGAAATTACAGAGGCAACTGACCCGGTTTTGGATAATCTTTTCCAATGATGCATTTGGCCTTAACTTGTATGCTCAAAGGAGCTGTCCATGGCTCATAAATATACTCCTTAGGCATGTCTGGGAATAAACATTATACATGGTGAAGTTTTATGCTACTGAAAGTAACAAACCAATAAAACCAAGATAAACATTTGGACACACCTTTTAATACCGGAAGAAAATACCTAATGTAGTTCCCATTAGGATCGTACTTCTTTCCAAATGAGATTGGAGAATAAATTCGGTTGTACTATAAAATGCAGAAAAAACAATAATCAGGCTTTCATGCAAATTATGGAGAAAACTGGTAGAATCATAAATGAAATTAAAATCCTGTGATGCATGCGTGCTGGCGATAAACAATTTTGGACCATCAAATTAGCCACAACAAACTCATGGAAGTCCATGAAAGCAAAGAAAACTCCAACGTGGGTGAAAATATATCAAAATTGACACTTTTAAAAGTCCATGTTTGGGACTGGATAGTATGATGAACAAGATTTGAACTTCTTTTTTTTCTATAATATATGCAGTACTGTCCAATTTTTCCTACCAAATATGTAATACTTGCAATATTCATAACATGACTGATGCCAAGATGGCCAGCTTTTCTAGTCTGCATTTGACAGCTCTAAGGTGCAACACCATGTAGGCTCAGAAAAGAGATGCACTTGTTCGTAACTACAGCTATGAAAGCGAAAAGGTCATTAAATATACCTGGTAAAAAAATGAGGAGCATGAGAGCCACAACCAGTTCCCATTATTTATTGCCCAATCAGAATCAATAAGAAGTCTCTCAAAGACATCACGCCCTTTTTCCCAATGCACAAACTGTCAGGAATTGGAGCAATATCAATAAAAAGAGATAAGAGGTTAGAAGACAAGGCCCACATGACTATAAGTACAATTACCAGATCTCCACGAGTTAAAAAACATGCAACACAATGCCGAGCAAGATGGTGCATCCACCCCCATTTATGCAGCTGTTTAAATATAAAATAGTCAGATACCAGTACATGACACAAAGAATTAACAAAGAACCACTGGGACTGTAACTTCTGAATTGAAAGTTCAATGGAACCTAGTCCATAGACCTAACCTGGACCATTATGGCATCAATCCAAGGAAATCCTGTCCTGCCATCTCTCCAAGCAGCTAGCAATTCATCATCATATTTCCATGGTATCTATATGAAAATAAAATAAAAATTGGGCAACGTCATGCAATTTTTAGCCCAAGACATGCAAGTACTGATAAAAAAAATTTATATGTCGGGTCATGCCCAACCTAATGTCTCCCTTGCAGCAAGAATTTATTGTAGTTTTAACGTGGTACTTGTATCATAATATGCAAACTCTTTGTGCCTCATGTAGTACAATAGTTTCTCAGTACCATTTCCTTCATCTAACTTTGAGAACGTGTGAGTAGGAAAAAGAATATAATAGAGAAACACTCGTTGCCTCCTAACACTAATCTGTTACTAATTAATTGATTGATTCTATGTTTCTGATGATCATGCTAGAAATCCCATCAAATAGTCTACCCATGTCATTACATGTATATGAGTGATGATTATTGAGTGGCTATTTGATGATGATGATGATAAATAAATAAACTAGAAGAACCCATTTGTATATTGCATGCACGTCCGTCAAACCACGTCAAATCAGCTATGGTTCCATATTTAACTGATGTATTAGCGACAACACCAAAGAAGTGAAAATTCAGACATGTAATATGGATTTTATATCATCGATATTAGACACCATTTTGTCAAGTATGAGAAAAGACAATCATAGAGAGTAGCTACCAAATGAAACCAAAATAATAATAATAATAATAATAATAATAATAATAATAAAGCCAAAATAGTTATAGATGCACTAGAGAAGAGAGAATTAGGAGAGAAAAGAACAGAACAAAAGGAAAATGACATAAAACTAAAGAAGAGAGAGAAAGTAAAATACTTTCATTTGTTTAATTTTAGAGGAAAATGTGAAAAAATGGAGAGAAAATATTTGTCAGCCCAAAAGGAATTTCATGGGGACTTGCTTAATATTTTTAACTTTTCAAATTAGTTGAATGTGGCACAAAAGAAACATAATTTTTGCTTCTTTTTTTTTTTCAAGGGAAAGGAAAGTTCGTTAAGCTTCTCTTCTTCTTCTCCTTTCCTTTAATCTGGATGAGGCAAACTAGTGATCACTTCACAAGAAAAATGCTGCAATTACCTGCTTGCATATTCTATTGTCCTTCATTTGCTCAAAATTAGGAGTTCCAAAAGCAACGGTGTAGAAAAAATCTCGCCATAATAACTGCAGAAGTTGAAATTATCAGGAAGATAAATATATAAGGATTACAACTGTTATACAAGTTTGTAAACTGACCTGTCCAAGAAGAGAAACGGGGGGAGATGTGTGCTTCTTAACAGTTCTCTGGATGTCCTGAATGCACTGGTAGAAGTACCTAGAAGACAGACAACCAAACTTCCAACAATTGAAAAAAGAAGAAAGATCAGAATACTTCAGGAAAATAGACTGAAAACAGCACAGCCCACATGTGACCTACTTTCAAGTAAGGCGATAATACAGTTGTTGCTGGTGATAGAAATGCAGATGGATCACCCTTGGGTTTCTCAAAGTTAGCCACCCATTCCTGCAACATAGGATCAGGAGTTTAGTCTGGAAAAGCAAAATTCAGATAAATTAACAACACAATTAACAATTGAATAAATCAGGTGCCAAATTTGCTGATAACTGCATTCGCCCAAACTTCAAGGATTTAGCCATTCTTTTTCAAAGTAAACGAATACTTAATTTGAAGGTTAATAATACCGCAGTTAACTCAGATCTGCATTCTCAAATACAAAACCAGCAAACTAAAGATAATACAAAAGCCATCCTTGCAGAATTTTCAGGAGTAATAAAACGTTCCATGCCTTTGAAATGTCATTATTTTAACCAATAATACCTTGTTTGACAGAGACTCTCTCAATCGTCTCAATGCTTCTGATTCACCACCTTTAAAAGGAGATCTCTCTACCTGTTCACAATGTCTGTTACAAATATTGCGAAAAGGACCACTTGTGGTATGTTCAGTAAGGTGGATTAGATAGTACTATACACAACAGATTATAATTTTAAAGAAGCATTTGACTTCATACCTTCGCACTGTCATCATAGCCAAGTTCTTCCATTGATGGGACTTCTGTAGTTGAACAGTTTCCAACAGGAGGAAGCCAAGAAAGTGCATTTGAAACAGGCGACGCTGCCCAAGAGGGTTCACCAGCAAGTTTGACAAAAGACTGATAGCTCAAAGGTGGTCTTCCACCGTTCTTTCAGATATTAACAGGTAGACAAATGAACCAAATAAATAGTCAAAGAAAGATAATTGATCAAGTGATCGGAGTTTGATTATCACCCAGTTCCAAAAATTAAAGGAAAAACACTTCTCATTGAAAAGAATTTGGCAATCTAGCATTAGTGGAAACTAGATCAACATCTACCTTCTGTATGATATCCGCAGGATTGAAGAGGGTGTGGCTGACAGGTGAAAATATCTCTATGCCAGCTGCAGTTGCATAACTCTGCAGAAAGAACATATTTGGTAGCCAAATAAGCAGATTATAAAAGGATAACAACATGCTAAAAAATCTAGCAACCGAAGAGAATTAAGACATCAATGTTCCTCTATCTAGAAAAAAGTTCCGACCTTGACTTGATTATCTAGAGCTTGATAATATGGGTCCGTGTCATATTCAAAACATAGCTTGCTTATGCTCCACTGGTCGCTCCAACAAAAGAAATGATATTAGATGTTGAGGACGCATAAGAGTTACACAGGAATGCACTCAGAAAAAAGGATAAAACAGATTAAATACTGTAAATCACAAGCAAAGAAGCACATGCCAAAATTCAATTAAATTTAGATTACCTCCTTCAAGCAGCGAATCAAGACCTGGCTAGGTTCACCCTTGAGCACCACCAAACGCGACCCGAGCCTTTTTAGGCTCAAATCGAGATCCACGAGGCTCTCGAGCAAGAACCTAATTCGGTTCAACCCGGCTCGCTCCGACCCTTGGGAAAAAGCCGTGACATCAGGCTCCATGTAATGAGGATCGATCACGAAAACAGGATACAAAAAGTAGGACCCCTTAGCCGCGTGCTCGAGAGCCGGATTGTCGTGGATTCGAAGCCCCTTTCGGAACCAAATCAGAGAGTTCGATCCGGAAGCCATTGACGGGTTGAAGAGACGCATTAGATTGAAGAAAACGGTTCACATGTTTCCCGCCTCAAATTGGTAAGAGGGTATCGGGCTAACATGCGCCGAGGAGACGTGGTTAGTTTGTGTCCGTTATTGTGCACAGATTAGAGTATAGGCGCACGAAATGGAAAGACTGATTAAGAAAACGCCACGCAGCGCGTCATCAGTTGGTGGTTAGTTCCGTTTGATGAATTAATTTTGAGCATGTTTGATAAAAATTTTAATTCAATTAATATCAATTTTTTTACTATTATTTCACTATTTCAATCGTTATTTTGAATTCTTCTTTCGCAGATAAGATTCACTTTATCTCTAACAGTCAAAAAATCAATTAATTAACTCCCTACCAAACGAGCACTTAATTCATTTCACTTTGTAATAAATTTAAATTATGGTCACTCAAATTTATAACAATTATAAATGTCAACATTAAGTCATAAATGTCACCGTTAAATTCCAAAGTAAATACAAATTATTTTATTCTGAATGCCACACGAAACAATATTTTTCAGATCACATTTCGTAAAGAGTCTTTATCATTATTCATTATTACAAACTTCAAACTTTGAAACTTAAAACTAAAAAATAAAAATGTCCACGACCACACATTTTTCAACAATAGTTCATCATAAAAATTGAGTTATATTGATGTTGTTCGATACAGCCAATAGGCTTAATCGAGTTGAGAACCCTATTTTGAACCTTTAGTTAAAACATACTTTTCATTCAAAGTTTGTGTTTATAAATCACGTGTCTCAAAATTTAGATTGTTGGAAAATGATTGAATTAAGGGTGCGTTTGATTGCACACATTTTTCATGAAAAATGGGTTTTTTCCACCTAATTTCCTACTTTTGTCTTATTTGATTAACAATTTTTTCCAAGGAAAATATTTTCCTTGTTTTGGTCACGTGACCACATTTTCTTTAAAAACAAGGAAAATATTTTCCTTGGGATAGGGTGGATTTTATTTTTTTATGGAATTTAACCCTTCCAAAAATTCTAGTAACCAACCCACATAAATATCTCTCTCTCTCATCTCTACCCACGTACCCTCTCTCTCATCCATTCAACCTGCTCTCATCGATTGAAAGGAACCAGGAAGGCGTCTCACTCTCTCATCGATTCAATCGAACTAGGAAGAAGAAATCGACGATCTGCCTCCGAGGAAATCAGTGCGAAAGGTTGGCAACGAGGCGGTGACTGTATAGATTGAGGTTAGTTTAACAATCAAACCACCATATTCTTGATGCTTCAATTTTGTCGATTCTCTGTGTTTAAAAATTATTAGGTTCGTTTTTTCATGGGTCCTCATTATTTCAAGTTGCAGATTCCAATTTTGTTTCTGTTTTTTTTATTTTTTTTTATTTTGAGATTCCACGTGATTGGATGCGTATTGGAACATGAATTCCAGAATTTTTCTCATCTGTAATCACCCCCAATTCTATTTCTGTGATGTATGAGTCATTATTTATCAAACGCACATTATTCCAGTGATACTCTAAAGATGTTTAGGCAGTGCAATTCTGATGAATGTGTGGAAATTGGTTGTCTTTTTTGAGCATTATAGGGAGAGAGAACTTGGGTTCTGCAAGGTGGAGCTGCTGATAGAATTAGTGTTAGAATTTAAGTTGTATTTCTACCATGTGAGAACATACATGGATTTTTCTCTTGGGAATTTAGCAAAGTTGTGAGTTGGACAGAGCTCCTGCATGTTTGTTTTATGATGTATAAAGCCCAGAGAAACCGGGATTAGGATTTGACATCAACAGATGAAGAGTGCATAATAGAGCAGCAACATCTTCGTCTACTTCCTTTCCCTTGGCATAGTAAAGCATTGGTCCTGTCCACTACAATATGTAGGAAAAAATAAATTAGTTCAAAGAAACAAAGACTTATTCAAACAGAAGCTGTATCAAAATGGCATGTTCATCATCTATCAAACAATGAATAGCAACGGTTGAGTTAGCAATACCTCAACTCTGTCTAGAACTCTTCTTGAGTTCCACTACTTAAGTTTTGACGAAGTTTGGTCAGCTAGAACTCCCTGATGTGATTGCTTATGGGAAACTAAATAGATACAATGGTTAGCAAACAACATTTGTTGACCTACTTGTATCTTTTGGTCTACATATTGTTGTCCTTAGGAGTTATTTTGTACAACAAGGTATGTATTGTATAATACATGATGAATGTCTCATGCTCTCTCTCTCTCCCCCCTCTCTTGCTTGATATAGATATTGGCAGCATATTTGTAACACTTATTAATATCACTACCTCACCCTCACCAATTTTGGATCACATTAGATTTGAGGGTGGAGAGTTGCTTTTGGGATAGGAAAGCATGGGTCTTGATGGAAAGTTCTATCAGCTATTTCACCAGAAGCTGTATCAAAATCACCCTCAACTAATCTTTTGGCTCCCTATGTTCCAGAACTCTGCATTTGTGAATGACAGCAGCTTAAAGATTGAAGATATAGTACCGCAATAATTTGACATGTTTAGGACCTAACATGTTTCTCATGTTAGCTAAAAAATTCTGCTAGTTGAATTTTACAGTAGCAGAAATAGCAATTTAACAAGTATTGATTTTGTGCCAACAATAAATTAAAATTATTGCAAGAGAATAGAGCACAAAAGCTGTCAAGTTTATCTAAATTTTTTCCTTGGATAGGACATATCAGTTGTAGTTTTCAATTTATCATACTATGCTGAAAGTTATAGTAAGCAAGCTTGTAGAGGGACTAAGAAGTTTCAAAAGCCCGGCGCCTGAAGAGAGAAATCCAACTTTACTAGTTTGATAGGGAACACATATTAATGTTATAGTGCTAAAACCTAACATATTCTTATGGCATGGTTGGATAGAATGAATGGTACTGAACAATATTGTAAAAATTAGAAAGAAAATTAAGATTTTATCTATTGTATGCTCAACCCAACACATGTTTAGAATTATATTTAAAGCGCAACTTGGAATGTGTGAGTGGAATTAACCAAATGGTCAGTAATGCAATCTTTAAATATTTTGACTATTTTATCTGGGAAAAATGAGAAAAATATTCCAAACCTGTCATTATAACTAAAACATCCCAAAATAATTCGATTAATTAATCAGGATGTCATTATAAAACATTAATTCCACACTTTTAGTGATCTAATTATCAGAATCCTATGCAATGTGCTTACATTTTCCTTTCTTTTTTCTTCTCGAGTTGTGTCATTTAGCAGCTTGACAATAACTAATACTCTCTTTAAATAAATTCTTTTTTTTCTCCTGCTAGATTCAATTGATACATTCAAGGTGTTTATAAAAATGAGAATGTGAAAAGTGATATTTTCTTACTTTTATCTAAAAAAGTCGTAGTATCTCATTGGAGCAATTAACTAGATATATATGTGTGTGATTTTGGACATTTAAATATACAAATTCAAACATTGTTTTAATCTTACATTGAATTTTTATTTACCATGGTAGTTTATAGCATGGCTACAACAACGAATCAACGTCGATGCCGACGACAACAGTTAGGTTTATTTTGGACGATGATCATGCAAGCAATTGTGATATATAATGAACTTAGGTGTCGTGCACGACATCTTCCAAGAGCTCCTCATACAAATTGGGATTCTGAAAGAGAAATAACACTTACACGAATGTTTGGCACGAGTGATACAATATGTCGTGATCTCCTTAGGATGAAAATAGGTCCATTTCAAAGATTATGTGCTCGTTTGCGAACTTATGGATTGGTTGACAGGAAATACGTTCGAATTGAGGAACAAGTCGCAATTTTTTTGAATATAGTCGGGCATGACCAACGTAATCGCACTGGACGTTTTACTTTCTTTCGCTCTGATCAAATAGTGAGCTTTTACTTTCACAGAGTCTTACACGCTTGTCTTGGACTGTATAGAGATGTTGTGACTAATGCCACTCCTCATAACTCACCATACGAAAAAGAAAATGTGTAGCCATGGTACTCCTTTTTCCAAGTTAGTGGTTTGTAGTTATTTCGTCATATTTCTTAAAACTTCAATATACACATTTATTTTGAAACGTATTCTTTTTTAAAGGATGCCGTAGGAGCAATCGATGGTACACATATTGCTGCGTATGTGCCTTTAGAGGAGCAAGGTAAATATCGCAATAGAAAGCAAGTGATCTCCCAAAATGTTTTAGTAGCTTGTACATTTGATATGAAATTTACTTACGTGCTTGCCGGTTGGGAGGGATCCGCACATGATGGTCGATTGTTATGGAGTGCAATATTACGCCAAGGACATAAGCTAACAATTCCTGTTGGTAAGTTGTGTCACTATTTTGAAAACATTTCTTCCACACATAAGTTATAATAATTACCTAATTACCATCTTATGAACAACTCTTTCCTAGGTAAATATTATCTTGTTGACGCTGGCTTCCCATCGGTTTCGGGTTTTCTTGCACCATATCATAGGACTCGTTATCATCGTAGAGACATTGAAGGTCAACGTCTTGAAAATAGTAAGGAGCTGTTCAATTTTCGACATTCATCTCTACGTAATGTTATTGAGCGTACAATTGGTTTGCTGAAAAAAAGATTTGCATATTTGAGACATCAACCCTATCACGACATTGACACACAAGCAAAGATAGTCCTTGCCTGTTCTGCCATCCACAACTTCTTAAGGATTGATGACGTTGAAGATGTTTGTGAGGAGGACGACTTAGATAGTAGTGATGATGAGGTTAACCCTACGCATGTTGATGTTTCTGAAGATGAAACTCCAAATGCTGACATATCTTTCACAAATCAGGAAGTGTGGTCTAATAAGAGGAATGCAATTGCGGATTTAATGTGGGTTGATTATCTTCCCAATCAGAATGCGGGAATTGATGTTGCTTGAAATCTGATTTTTTTTTCCTTTTTTTTTCTTGTGGCGTTTTTTTTATTTCTTTTTCTTTTTATGTAATGGATTTATACTTACTAGACTTTCATCTGTAGTAATTACTTGAATTGAAGACGTTTTGACATGAAGCATATTTTTTGTTTTTTTTTTCATGTCCTATAATAGTTGACATAAACTTGCTAGAATTTTAAATATTGT